ATCAATCTCATATCACATATCACAAGTTATGTGGCTTTCATATATGTAAGTTTTCACTTCATGTCCGTCGGCATATAACATTATATGAGTTAATATCGTTATGCCCCTTTTTTCATATCATTTAGGGCAACATCATAATACTTATTTAAAGTAATGTTTATCAATCCACCCTTCTGTACAAGATAACATGCCTTTAACTAATTTGAATGAGACAATCATTTTTAGCAAGTATTTCTCACTTTTACACAAGTTTCACATCATATAAATTAGAATAGAAAATATCATATACACTTAATGTAGTCAATGGTATGCCAGAAATGTTTATTTCACTAAATAAATAGTAAAAGTATGCACGTCATGTATTTCATATCTAGATATAGCATATTTATTTATGATCATTTTATAATTACTAATATATTATCAATTTTAATTAAAATGATATACAATCAAAATCTCCTTGTGAAACTTCAATAATAACCAGTCAAATTATTTAAGCTAATGATATATACCATATATTAAAATTTATATGGTGAAAAGTTGTTAAAATGAGAGACATTGCATTTTGACCAATTTTAGAAGACATAATATGAGAGATCAAAATAACTAAAAATAGAGAAAAAAACAAACTAATCAGTAATTACCTCAATCATTAATTATATTAATCATCAATAAAATCATATAGGCATTTATTCACACATGTATGTTTGTCAATTAATCAATCATGCAGCATGTTATGTAATGCATATTCAATCATAAATAATAAGATTTATAAAGTAGTATTCAAGATAAGAAGAATTCAAGATAGAGAAATATACCAGTGAACTATTCAGGAGAATCTCACTTTCTACTAACACATATTATATACTCTTGACTATACTGGGGTTGATGTTATTATTGACAGTGTGGGTTACCTCTGCCTCTCGCTCATATTTCTTCCATATGTACCACTCACATATCCTTAATTTAACAATCTAGATATTGCCATTCTATATCCAAATGCTTATTTAGATTGATCTATCTTGGACCAAAATCTCTCTCTAAATCTTCTTTACGAGCAATCCATTATCATGTATTTGTACTAATCACATCTAAAACACTGTACTGTGATAAGATAAAAAATATCCTTCATGTCTCCTCCTACATCTAGAACACTCCTGCACATTGTTAGCCTATACCATAGATCCTCTCCTAACATCAATAAACTTGCTTCTATTTTCACTATTTTTTCCTCTTACCACCTTTTCACCTGCTCTCTTTTCTATCCATATCCTATATAAATCGAAGAGCAGCCAAATCATTTTCCATCAATCTCACACTCTACTAACTTTGAAAACTCCTAAATTCTTAGTGGTATAGGTGGATTTCTCAACTCATCCTTCAATCATCTAATAAATCTGTAGTACATTTCATTTGTAGTATTAACCAGTTGAGATGCATACCTAATTAGTGTTGTAAACTCAGCTTCATACTACATCATTATCCTATACCCTTTCTCTGATATCATGAAAGCTCCTATATTTTCTATTGGGCTAATGGAGGTATGAACTTATCTCTAAAAGGGCTAACAAACTCCTCCCATGTAATCAGTTAGTACAACTTTCTCTAGAATTTCTCTATATACTATCTAATCCACAATCTCTCAGCTTCACCTTCAAATAAAATATTATTATTGGCAATTACCTATTTTCTTCTGCAAACTATATATATCAAATATATTTTATATCCTCAGGAACCAATCTTCTGCTGCATGTACCTTTACAGCTTCCTTAAATAGCGTCTGGTTATACTTATATAGAACATATGTACGTGCTTATCCTCTTTAGTGTCTTTGTTCCTAGTCTGCCTACTTTATGTTTCTCTCATCTATTGAGCTATTAGACTAGCAAACTAAATCATGTTGTCGAACTCATTGGAGTCACTGTACTATATTGATTTTTTACTTCAAATGAATTTATTGCACTTGCCATAGTTCTCTTTCCTATCAGGTTATAATTCAATCATACATATGCATGAAATGAATGCACAGAAAGTAAAGTTTAACACTGCCTAATTCCACCCATATGAATCAATTCCTATACCTCTTGTTATAATCCAATTCCTCAAACAACCATTGCTCTCAAGATCAAAATTAGGATGAATTGCCTATTCTATCTCTTAATTAATCTATCAAAGCTTCTAATAATCCATTAATATAAATTAGTAATGTAGAAGTAACTAAAAATTATATACATAAAAATATAAAATTATATTTATTCCTTAAAATTCATATACAATAGCTATGAGTTCAATCAGCATATTCTATCTTTCTACTCCTAACTACGAAAGAATAAAAAAAAAAAAAAAATAATATTATAGAATTTAACTAGATAAATTGATAGTTATGATTTTTTAAAGTTATTGCATAGATTTTCATGTATTTCATAGATCATTACATTTCATATATGATACTGAATTACAAAAAAAAAAATGATATAATTGATGCAAGATAAATGTAGCATTTACAAATAAGGAAAACTAGATGTTAACACTATCATTAATATGACTTTCCTTAAATAAAAGGATTGTAGTGTAATCTTGAATGTTAGCCTGTAATCAATTGACTGAATTATACGGATGAGTAGAGGGTGATGACTCTTAAAGATTTACTAAAAGTTACATCTGAATTGACTTAAGATAATGAATAAACATGGAAAGATAAAGCCTGATGACCATCAGGTCGACCATTAGGGTTAAATTAAATATTGATGATTAATTGTTCGACATAACATTACATTAAAGCTGAATGTCCTAAATTGCTATTTATTATCGCATTTATGATTGCATTTATATGATAATATATGAATTGATTGATAAATTGAATTGAAGTTGAACAAATAGAACTTGTATTGATAGTAGTACAACATAGCATAGCATATGATAGGGACATTGATAGACATTTATAGGCACATTAATATAGTACATTGATAAGTACATTTATATAGCATACTAATATGACAAATTGATTGATAATATTTTTTTATCAATTTTTCTTAACGTTTGATAGACATGTTTTGGCTTTAATGATCATATTAGTTTTATAATTGATTGATACCAATTTTATAAATTACTTATTTCTCATATTAATAAACTACTAATTTTTTATTGATATTGCTTGAAGTTGAATGCAATGACTAGTTTTGCTTACTTGCTTGGTTATGTGCTCATTATGTGACTTTATATAATTTCATGTAAAGGCAATGATCTTGCAAATTGAGGCTAATTAATAATATTAGTTTAATTTTTATTTTGAGCTTTTCAGTTTTATATATACCTTTTTGTAGCATGCTGTAGCTAGTGTATTTATTATTTTAGACTTTAAACTTTAATCATGATGTAAATATAGACTGTAGTAATGTACTTACACTTTTCATTATTTATATTTTTCATGAATGCAGTTAGCCAACTATTCTTGTCAATGATCTGATTGTTAATGAATTGAAAAAGATAATAAAGAGAAAAGAAATGGAATTCTCCTATTTTAGATCCTTGGGTGCCCCATATAAGATGATGAATAAAATGATGAGATGATGGAAATAAAAGTGGTCTACATGGTCACTCAGAATGAAGATTTGCCTCTGTTGCAAGGTCCTTCTGAGCTATATCTATCGCGGCTGCAACTTGAAATCAAGTTGCTTATGACCAATTTGAGGACATAATCCCATCAAAAAATAGAGTAGAGGAATTCGAACAAAACCCTATGTTTTCCCATACTGCTTGGTTAGTAGAAATACGGAGACTAGTGAAACGCCAAATGAAAGCAAAAGATAGGGAAACTTCTCTGTTGAATGCCAAGACGACTTAGATGATGTAGAGAAATGTTGTTGCAACCCTACTCCTGCACTTTCTATCAACGATCATGTCTAATAATGTTCCTACCAATCCGCCAATACAGCCGATCCTACAAGTATCAACAATACAAAAAACACCTAAAGGTAGAAATGAAATTAATAATTTAATCCATCAACTCACTCCATAGAATGTTGCACTGCAAGCACGTCTAGGCCAGTGGTAGTGACACAGCTTAAGAATACTATGAATGAGAAGATTAAACATATTATAGCACTAGATCAAGCAAAGAAGTTGGTGAATAAAGGTCGCCCATATCCAACTGAATACGACCAGATTTCATATCGGAAAGGTTATTATGCTCCAACGTTTAATACAATGAACGATAATGGCAATCCAAAATAGCAGTTGGCCTAGTTCAACGAAAATTGTGACAATACAAAAAGAAACAAATTAGACAAAGTAGCTAATGCAAAATGAATGTAAACTGGAACAACAATACAACTCTAATCCCCAACTGAAACTAGTACTAGGAGGAAATGACAAACCACGCCTTAGCGTCCGTGGAGGAGATCGTCAAAGGCTACTAGTAGGAGCTAGATATCAATTGAGTAAGGAGTATTTATTTAAAAGGAAAAGTGTAAAGAAGTTATTCCAGCATGCACTCAAAGTAGGTCTTCAGTTGCTAGTGTAAGAGACCTAAGGAGGCCAATCAAACAAATAACCCTAACTATTGCCCTTATAATAGGGTGATTGCCCACCCAATTGAAGACTGATATATATATTCAAACATTGACTAAAAAGGAAGCATAAAAAAAGGGGAGTTCACATTATCAAATAATATCTTGATTCACCCCAAGTGAGAATCAACACGGGTGGTTATGTGTTCTTTTAAAGGGAAAGCAAAAGAAGAATCATTTTAGAATGAACAATGGAAGACTGTGATCTCAAAAAAAAAAAAACAGTAAAAATGTTGAAGCAGCTTAAAGGAGTTCCTTATGTCAAGTGTTAAGTCTCCAATTAAGCTAGTGCTCGATTTAAAAGGGTTACAAAAATCAAGTGCATCTACTTCAAAATTGTGAACCAATAACTATAACTTGGCTTTAGCATAAAACTTGGCCGACATCAATAACATAAAACTTGGCTTTTGTATAAAGTATACCAAAAATCAACAGTGAATTAAGTCGTGGTTCCATGAATATGAAATTGTTCTACTAAATCTATAACAGTGTATTAAGTATACAAAAAAATTATACTTAGGACAAATTATTGATGTCGGCACCTCTTTTAACTAGAATGTTGACCTTAGCATACAAAAAAATTTTACAATTAAGAAATGTAAAATTCTAAATCTGAATTAAAATAAATTGACATTGTCCATGCAATAAATAAGAAAATTTCCAAACATAGCCAAACCCAATTTTCCACTAAAGCAACGATGAGATTGGATCATATCTTTTAGGTTGCAACAGTTGGAGAAGCCTATCTTGGCGGTCAACAGTACCAATCTTGGAGAAACATATAGGACCGCAAAATGGTGAGAAATCTATACTTTGATTCCATTGGCAAACCAGGTCTCCATTTTTTTCAGCTCATTATACTGCAACTGGTTCATCAACTGAACGAGAAATACCAGCAGTAACCTGCAGAAAAAAAGGCAATCCTGTTAATTGTTAATATCATTTGTTGGAAAACACCGACGAACTGGTATTCAGATTTGAATTGAAAGCAAGCAAGCAGAATCATTTTTTTGTCCTCTTGTTCTATCGTTACCCAACAACAAATAAACATTAGGATTAGAAAAGGCAACTTTAATAATTAGTGGATTGCACAACCAAGAAACTCAACCTAAAGAAAAGAAAATCTTTGATTTTGATAACTACATTGTACCTAAACGACTTCATATGATAAAATATAAGCTAGTAGACTAGTAGTGCACAGTGTCTTCTTGTGCTGAAGATCAGCACTTCTTCGTAAAGACTTGCTGAAAAATTTGGAGAGTTTCAAATTTGTGGATAGTATGCTTATCTTGGGCAACTTGTCAGTCCTTTTTATTAAGAACAGCAAACCATCCAGCGCTGACATATACAGAAGAAAAAAGCTCTACCCTCACCGGAATTTTAATCAGCTATGAAGCGTAAAGAGAAAAGAAACAGTAAATCAGGGACAAGGTGATCAATTTTTTTTCTTCAATACAAATCATGTGGTTGTCAAAAGTTTATGACTATACAATATATGAAGCTCACATTTGACAATAGAGAAAATGATCAAAATAGTCCCTTGACTCTTTATGAAGGACTAAAATAGTCCTTAAGTATATTAAAGGATCATTTTAATCCCTCAAGTCTTTAAAAAAGAATCAAAATAGCTCCTCTTTTTAAAGAGTGGAGGAACCAAAATGATCATTCCATATAGTTGGGGACTATTTTTATCTTTCGTGAAGAATCAAAGGACCATTTTGGTTCTTTTCTCTTTTACAATATTATATTTATCATATGGATCACCATTTAAAAAAGAAATGTATTGATAGAATAATATACTACTTAATTGCAATACAATGAACAATAAGAAATTATAATGCAAATAATAACATAAATAATAAAATAATATACCACAACACGATAACATCATATTGCAGAGTGAGTACTACAACATAGAATATAATAGAAGACAAAAATGTAAAAATCCCAAGATCTAGTTGATAATTGGTTGGGTTAAATCCATCCCATATCCAAGATGAGCTATCACACGTTGGAAACGTGCAGTGGGCATAATCGTGCAAAAGAAATCTGAGCATGTTTTTAAGAATCCAAAACTGGCTCATCCAACGGAAGGACCGCAGGGTTCTAGAAATCTTAATATATCATAGGTGACTATTAGTAATGGTTTCATTAAGGTAGCTACACTGTTAGCAACTCTCAAAGTGTAAACACATTTAATCCTTCCTTTAACCAACTTATAGGATACTAGTCAACCACTTAGGGTCTAACTTGCTGCAAGAAATTAATTTTATCACATTTTCAGTAATTAGGAAACAGACGGAAGCAGTCCAGCCAATACCCATTAGAAATCCATGAAAAAAAGAACATTTTGTATGGACAAAACTCTCCAAGATTTTTAATGTTCACAGTTCCTCACATCAAAATACAAGTTTAGTAGATTTTTACAGAAATTTTAAAAAATATTAACAAGATTCAAACCTTGGCAGCTTTAAAGAGTTCATCAAGAACTTCAGATAAGGTTGGATGGGCATGAACGGCAAATTTTATATCCTGCAGGAAATAAACATTCATAGCTTAGTTAAAGAAAATTAAGAAAAAAGAGGATAATTGACATGCAATAGATATTAAGAAAAATCATGGTACATTGAAACTGATAAATCAATTGCTTACAAAAATTGTAAGCACAGCAAGATAATTTACCAGTATATAGAATAAGAATTAAATCCAGGTTCAAATATAAGACGAAAGTGATAAAAGATAGAACTTTCTAGTAAGTTGTTTGGTTCTTGTATATGAAAGACAGCTAAAAAAATGTTCGATAACTAGTATCAATCCAACGGCTATACTCAGCAAATTATAAAGTCTGCAGGTGATCTTAACTTGAAACAAAGGTAACTGAATTTTAACTCCAAATCAGCAAAGCAAACAGAAAAAGAAAAAAAGAAAAAACTATAATTAATGCAAGAAAAATCAATATAATTACTTCTACTAGTCAAATTTTTTATACGCTTTAATAAGTATATTTCCATTCTGCTATTGACCATCCAATTACCTTTGGCCAATATCATCCAAGACCAAATAAAGAGAATAGTACTATTTGGTCCAGATCTTATGCAGTGAAAGAAAAGTTTACATTTTTCAAACACACCGTGCCTAATAACTTACAAGACTAAATTTGTCAGCGGATAAATGTAAATATTATAATGCATATTTAAAACCTTAAATTACGGGCATTGTCCATATTCTAAAGTAATCTCAAGAAAAATAGAGCCAGAAGAACCATTTTAGTTTTACCTGAATGCGTGTTCCCATGGCTATAGCATTTGATGCCTCGTGTATGAGGTCTGCAGCATGTAGTCCTAATATATGAACTCCAAGTATTTCACCATTATCAGGTCTGTATATCAACTGCATTAACCCAGATGATTACTCAATAACCATCTCATTTTATGAAGCAAGAATGAATAATATGTCCAACAAAATTGTTAACCTTAAAAAATTAGACAGAAATTTTTTATCTACCGCCTCATACAAAACATAACATTTAACTTGGACAAATGATAATATAACCTTAGCCAACCCTTCTCCTTCATTTTCAGCTAGAGCTTTTGTGTTAGCCTTAAAACTTGTTTTAGCAACAAAGACTTCAAATCCCTCTTTCTCCGCTTTCTCCCTGGCTTGCGGCTGCAAATGATCATGGCATGACACAAAAAAGTGAAGCTTATACCAACTTTAATATTAAAAGAGATAAAAATTAATAAAGGTAAACCTTATCAAGTTTATTTTGTATTTATTAAGAAAATCGCCAATTTCAAGATAGAAACTTTTCAAGCGCATCACAAAGCCTATCAACAGTACTCCAAATGTAGGTGAGGAGAAAGAGTGAAAGTTTATGAGTCAACAACTTCAACATAGATACACACTGCAAACCATCAATATTCCCAAAATTTGTGTAGTGTTGGGTTTTGTGTGTGAGTGTCTGTGTGTGCGGTTAGTAGGGGGATGGAGGTTGATGTATATAGCCTTGTGGCGAACTCATAATCTTTCCTTTTACCTATCTTAGTTGGTCGAATATATGGCTATAAATAATAGCTTATATTTGGATGGCTAGTATAAAGAAGATCATAATTTTGAGTTGTCAAGGTTTAAACATATTTCTGTTTTGATTTCAGACATCTTCAGAGTTTGTGTTAGAAATGGAAGCTGCACCGATTCAGTTGAACTGGTCCCCTAGCTAAAACACGAGAAGGTCTCAAAGTGGGCAGGCGAGCGCAGGTAAAGAAATGCACATGTGGGCGAGTGCGATAAAGCAAAACGAGCGAGGAAACACGTTTAACAGCAAAAAGGCTGCGACTCCTCGCGTGAGAACTCCAATTCATTCCATCCAATTAAGCCAAACGAGAAAAAGAAGGCGGGCTGAGAGGAAGCAAATACAGAGAAGGAGAAAAGGAAATTGGGAGAGAAATAAAGAAATTTGGGATAGGAAGAGAGAAATTGTATGGAAGAGAAATTGAGGGAGGCGTTTTGTCAACTATTGAGGTTGTCTAAAGATCAGGATTTGTTGGGAGAAAGAAAAAGTGAGCCTCCATTTCTTACAACAGGGAATGAGTAAATCGTTTAAATTTTTTTTTTTTCATATTTAACTTTAGACAATAAATAAATGCATATTTTTTTGTTTTTATTTAAATAGTAAAATATAATTGTTCAATAGGAAGGAATTAAATTGGTGAGAGTCTCAGATCAAAGAGGAAGGAATGGAGCTTTAATCAAGATAATTAGTTTTGCTTATTTTTAGAGATTTACAGTAGAAGATGAATTGTAATCATGATATGATAAATTAGAAGAGTTTAATTTTATATAGATGATGTTTGACGCATTTGAAGTTGTCTATAACGATGTCAAATTAATGCAATTTTATCTTGACAACATTTAATTTTAGAGGATTCTTGTCATGATTATTCGACAAGTTTTACGCTGGTTGTCGACTACCTAACACAACAATCCACTTTTCTCATCCAGGACTTGGGACCTGGCAACGACAATGTTCACATTAGATGAGAGTCACCTTAGATGGTTTGGTCACATTAAACAGAGGCATTCCGATGACCTTGTTAGGAAAGCTGAGGTATTAGATTTGACTTATATTAAAAAAGGTAGAGGTAGACCTAAAAAGAGTTGGTTAGAAAACATTAGAAATGATATTTCTTTATTAGATTTAAATGAGAATTTGACTTTTAACAGGACACAGTAGCGAAAAAGGATTCATGTAGCCGACCCCACGTAGCGGAACAAAAGCTCGATGTTGTTTTTGTTGTTGTTGACATTTAATTTTAGAAAGTTTTTTAGCTACAATTAATGCAAATAAATGTCATATGGAATAGTGAAGGATTCAGATCATTGAGTTGAGGCAAAGTGTTTAAGATAATAAGAGTTCTTAATAAAAGATTAGATTGCATTAAAGAAGGCCGACATGAATTTCAGTTTCTTTTATTCATTTCAATTATTAAATGTTATATCATGAACATGTATTTGTTAATATTTAATTGTCTAATATGCATCGAATTGAGTATGACTAAACAATAAAGCTTACAATTTATGTGTATGAAAAATGATTACACAAATTAATAAGTATATGTAACGGAAATGAAATGAATGAAAAGAATTAAAATATGTAAATGGAAAATAATGAAAAGGAAAAGGTATATGCATGTAAATATAGGACTTCAATCTCTTATGGTACTAGCTGTGGACGCCACATACCCGTGCAGATAAAATTAAAAAAAAAAAGAAAAAATTGTTGTACCTTAATTGTTTCAAAATTTAATGTAGTGCTCATGTAATAAATGAAATGAGAAAAAAACAAAAATAGAAATGAATAAAAAAATTTTAAAGGACAGAACTTAAATCTATGGATATATTAAATTTTGAAATATAAGTAATAAAAAGTTTGATAAATATCCTATGAACTATAATTATCCACTGAGTTTATTATAAAAACTCAAATTGTTAGATTTAAAATGTCAAATAAATCTCATGTGAATTAAATGATTAAAAGAGAAGGGTTCCCCTACATAAGAAGATGATTAAATGATAACAAACAAATTAGTTTATTATATGTTCAAATTGAAAAAAAACAGTGGCTCTTTAATTTTATGTTGGATATGTTGAGTATTTTGTGTTAATGAAAGAATGGTATTAACCATCCGACTGTCTGTTCCCGCCTCGTTAATTCAAGTCTCCAGACCCAGTTTTAGTTGACTTGTGAAAGAAAACAAAAAAAAATCAATGTCATACCGCCCTGCCAAAACCCACGTCTCTCCCCACGTCGCAGCCAGTTCGCACGACCCGTCGTTTCTCCCGATGTATTCACATGACTTGGCGTCGTTAAAAGGAAAAGGAGGCAAGGCATTCGGGTTCTCTCCACTCTGGCTCTCTCAATCCCGCTCTCACTCTCTTCCCGTCGCTACTCCGACGCCTTCGTGGTCGATCAACTTCGCTCCTCCATCAACTTTCCCTTCCGGTAGGATCGGAAGTTACGCCTTTTGATCGGAAGCAAGAACGACAGCTCGCTCACAGTGAAGTTTCCTTTCTTCCCTTCGTGGCCTTCGTGGTCGATCGACTTCGCTCCTCCATCAACTTTCCCTTCCGGTAGGATAGGAAGTTACGCCTTTTGATCGGAAGCAAGAACGAGAGCTCGCTCACAGTGAAGTTTCCTTTCTTCCCTTCGTGCTGCCTCTCCAGCTCCTCCGACGTTGTTCGACTTTGCTACTTCGTCGACTTTCCTTTCTAGTCGGACCGTAAGCAACAGGAGCCGGCGCCCTTTCCTGTTGTCCGATTTGGCTCCGGCGATGACCCTCCCTTCCCGTTGAATCGGAAGTTACGATATTTTGAATCGAAAGCGACAACGGGATTCGCTCGTTGTGAAGGTAGCTATCCCCCTCTTGCGCCCTACTTCGGCCAAATCCCGCAAGCCGGTTCAATCATGATTGAGGCAAGGAGTGGTGAAACTAAACTAACTCAAGCTTTCCAATCAAGCTGATATCCATGCGATGATTGAATGAGGAATGTGATAATGTGCCTACAAGCAATGATATAAGACTCTTCATGCATACAACCACTGGCTCATGGATTAAAGTAGTGATGAACTATCAACCAAGATGTATTTGAAGTGTGTGAAACCAATACAGCTCGCATATGAATGATGCTATCCAATTGTAATCAACGATGATTAATAAATTACAAGTATGGTGGGTTCCTTGCAAATACATATACATATTTAGCATCAAAATACAAGAAGATACAAAGGACCACCATTCAATAGTCAACAAATATGCCAGTCCATTTCAAGTAAAGGAGGATGATACACATCAAATACAAACATTCACGGGTTGTCGTAAGAAGATCTACTGCATATATTGGATGCTGCCTACAAGCAAATGTAGGGGAAAAATGACAAATGTGAATGCTTATGGGCAATGCCAAGGGATTTGCACTCAATGTTAACATACAAATAGGCACATCGAAACATGCAAGTAATGACAAGAAAAGACTGTATATCTGCCATGTATATACAAGATATCTACACACCTGCATGCTGTCATAGTAGAGGGCAATGAATGATATGACACCTTCATGACAAGTCACAAGTAAAATGCCAAAGGGTTACACTAAATGCAAGCACCTACGTGTTGAAGCAGGAGATTAGTTTGTGCACTATGATCCACTTCCAGAAAACAACAAGTAGTGCACGACAATCTACCTGTACGAAGCAGCGAACAACTCTATTTAGAAGCTGCTACGCCACACCACCGGATCTGCAACACTTATACAAGCAGACAGAAGACATCTACAATCTACAACGCCATGCCACCGGATCTCCCGGCGAGTGTGTTATTGGTACACGCGTGACGTCTAGGGATGCTACGCAGGTCGATAAGTGAATTCAAGTTCGAACTTGATCCTTCTATACGGATCAATAGGAGTCGACAGGGTTCGAACCTTTAAACATATACACAGTTGTGGCGACCGGAGTATTTGTTTTAATACATTCATATTAGGCCTTCAAGGCCTATAACAATGAGAATTCACTAATAAAGACACAAAGCCTACGAAAAATCCGATCCTTGGTCAATAGCTTGGTCGAGTTGACAGGGTTTAATCAACAAAGAGAAATGATCCTGAACACCCCGATGATGGCCGTATTGAATGAAAATCTCAACCGGAGGGGTCCATTTCAAATATCTTCAAAGTGCCACCCAAATACCCAAAACTCCAGAAATTCCCAAAATCCAAAATATTTAAAATTGAAATCCAATCATCAAACACTTAAAGCACAAAATTCATCCACCCTCCGCAACAGTTTGCCGAGGTGGACAAATTGAAAATTACTTCAGCTCACATAAAGTTAATGCCTAGTCGAAAATATCACTAGGATTCATTCTCAAATAATCTCCTGCCAATAAGGACATGGTACGTGTCCTCTAATCGGCGGTCTGCCGCCAAATGGCACCGCAGGATAAACGGTTATGACCCGGGGCCCTCTGAACCGATTGGTTTTGCTGCTAAATGGCACCACAAAATACCGGTTATGGCTAGAGCCAATACGCTCCTTAGTGGCATCAATCCTTATGATATGAATCAATAAAATATGATTGATAGGGCACAAAGCCCTCTGTTAGCTAAGGTGGATTCAAATTTGTCCTCTTAGGCAAACATTCACCCCAGGTCTACAAGGTCCTCTTGGACGAAGCAACCCATGGCTGCCGACAAGGATCCTTATGTCAGGTTGGGTCGACTACCTCCTCTGACTAAGTAGACCAAAGACCATGATGGCCCGGGACAACGGAACCATGGGATCTTGATCAGGTCCATCATCCATTCCCCCACCATCCGCTTTAAGTGAAAGATGGTGAAATTTCTATTTTAAATATCAATTTTTTTAACCTTTCTAATCTTCAAACTCATGCTGCTACTATATGACAGATAACACGTATATTCTACGTATCTGATCGACGACTAGCCTTAATCGAAAGTTCTCTCTCATTATCGGGAGGGGTAATTAACTATAGGGGCTTGCGCCTATGGGAAACAAGAACTCAGATCATAAAGTCCTCGCAAAATGAGGGCGAAATCTCTGGGTAGTGTCTTATCTACAAACTCATCTGCCTTCCAAAATTTACCCTAGAACTTATTCCGTTAAAACTCCCTCGCCGAAGAAAAACAAACAATAGCAGGCGGAGGCCAAGGCCGAATTTTTGGAGCCCACAGTTGTGACATTTAGTTTCTGAATTTCAAATAATTTTGCTAATTATGGTATTAAGATTTTCCTATGATTTCATTTGTAGTTATTTTTTTGAAAAATGGTGATTATTTTTATTTCAATTTTCACAGTGTTTATCATATGCTGAAATTGTTAATATTAAAATGAGGTGCATTGTCATTACATATTTAGTTAATTTACATGATAAATGCACATGACACACAAATTTGAATTTTCATAGTGCTCCTTATAGGTTGAAATTGTAAATATTATTATGAGGCACATTATAATAATATATCAAGTTAATTTATATGAACACAAATTGCTTTAGCAGGCTCATAGGCATCCCTGTTGACATGTGCTCACTCACTGTAAGCTCATCGTGATTCCCCTTGCTTTCCATTCCACCTATTCTCGTTTTCATTGATTCCCAACATTATGAGAAACGGCCAACGGCTCATGAAAGACATCAATGGAGACCTGCAACAACAAATTCGATCTATCTTGAAAGTGTTTTGTACGCGGATTAGTGAACTGTATTGGCATTGGACGGATGAAATTATGCGAAGAGTCGTCGGCAAGTCTTCTCACATTAGCATATCAAGTTGAGATTATCAAAAGCATAAAAACGAATTGAAGATGTAGGTTCTTAGATGAGAAAATAAGTAAAAATAATATGGACGACACAAACATTACAGAATGTTCACTGGCTAACCAATATCTTCAGATTTTTGTTTTAATTGTCAAAGGTGGCCTAAGATGATGTAGTTGGGCAAAGACATGGGGGATGTTGTAATTGGGAAAATGTGAATCTTGAAGGCACTTAGGATTCAAGGAGATCCAATCTAGCATTTCTTTGCTCGATTGTCATGGTAGAAATAGTAGATAGTAACAAGATGTGCGAGCTGGGCGCTGGAATCAGCTTGCGAATTTTATGGTATCTAAAATCAGCAACGGTGGAATAAAAAGATGAAATGAAAGCACCAATTATAGGATCCTTTGATCCTAATTAGAGCATTTCAAGATACTCTTTTACTCCCAAAATAAAATAAAAAAGAGAACTAAATAGAGGAACTGGAACTCATTCACTATTCTTCATTATCTCATGCTCTGCAAATCAAAGTATTTATAGAATACAATGCCTATCTTAAACTAATACTCTTCTAATCAACCCACTATTAACCACTGAACTAATTAGAAGTGAATTCACATTAGCAGTAGTATACACGTAGGGCTAGACAACCAAAGATCAATTTCAATTAAACATATGCAATTTCCGTTCACAATTATAGCATCAAGTAAGAAAATGAACAAGGAAGCAATAAATATAATACTGAGGTACAGAAGTTACGAAAGCATATCCATTCACTGATGTCTCAATTAAGGCTCATATTGTCGGATGAAATCACATTCATGACGAAGAAAATGTCACTTGAAGTGGAAAATTTAGCCTTACCTCAGTGAGGCCAACCATACTGATCTCAGGATGGGTAAAACAAGCAGCAGGGATGCTTAAATGGTTGAGCACATGAACCTTGCCACAAATAGTTTCAATGACTACATAAGAAAGAAATGTGCGTAAACACATAAAATGTTTCTAAAGAATACAAAGAAGTATGATGGGTTTTTTTGAAATATTACGAGTCAATGTACCTGAGATACCCTGAGCACTGGCAGCATGAGCAAGCATCATTTTTCCATTGGCATCACCAATGCAATATAAATGAGGGACCTGCATAAATAACAAAGCAAGAGATGAAAGAAATTTTGAGGATGAGAAATCAGGAATCGCAACTTTTCATTGATCAAGAAAATGTAGATTTAGCCAAATAACCAAACCTACAAAATATCATATAGATAATTCAAAACATAAGTTCACAATGAAACATGAAGACTAACAGGATTGCCATTTGTATCAATAACTTGCATTCGTTCATCAACTGGAACAAATCCCCTCTGTGTGGTGACATTTACCTGTAAACAACAAACGAAAAATCAGAGAAAATTTCTCCTCAACAGCTTTTGTTTTTCCAAAATCTCTTTAAACACTCACACTTTCTAAGCCAAGTCCTTTGGTAAATGGAGCTCTACCAGTTGCTATGAGGGCTGCATCTACCTGAACGTATTTACAAAAGAGGAGCAGCAGAAAATTAGCATTAGCTACCCCATAAAGCCTTACTTAGGCATTTAGAATCATTTATCAATGTTATAAGTTAAATGCAGTCATTTCAATATGATTGGAACTTTCACTGGTTTTTAAATTATAACAGTCTAATTCTAATTCTTATGGAAGTCAGACAAAAAATTACACTGACGAAACCAGGAAAGGAAACATCAATGCAAGGTTAATCTTAGTAATTTTTATAGAAGACCAAGTTGCTAAGCAGGATGCATCATCTATAACATTTCTATCGCTACATAATGTGAATATAAATAAGATTTCCTTTCACCCTCATTTAACCCTCTTCACTTGCCTCCAACTGCCTTCCATAAAACCTTCCTTATCTCAACATAATCAACCATATTCAAATTGAAATTTGAATTTAAAGTCCTAACAAATCTCCATCTTTATCTCCTAAACATCCTTCTTCATTCCCTTAAAAAAAAATTCAAAACCAATATATATTATAATCCTGTTCTAGCCAACCTTAACTAATCATTCTCATACCTTCCTCATAGCCCCCTCAAAGACACGCAGAACAAAAAAAGGGAGATTTATGGAAAAAAATATTAAAATCTGACAAGATTACAATTAAATAGCTGTGAATCTGCATAAATCTCTAGCAGCAGTCCACCTTCTACTGCATTCATCTTCTCTGCTCGAGAGATTTACACTATCTTCTTAAATCAAAAAGAGCTTGCCATCCTTGAGGTCCGCCTTTGCGCAATTCCAGTAAAAAAGGTCTCGATGCTTACGCCTCAAGTTTTTTTATGAGGCTTGCGCCTCAACTTGGTTGAGACCTGCCTTGAGGCCCACCTCGCCTCACTGGCATGAGGCTTACGCCTCACGCTATATATATTATAACTTACATAAATCTTGAAGTAAATGCCCGACATTGGACTTTATAGGAGAGGAGGAAGGGGAGAGAGCAGTTCATCATAATGATGATTCAAATGAAGAACCCCTTAGTGATGACAGTGTTGATGACTTATGAGTTCTTATGTGATATGTCATTGCTATTTATTTTTGGAAATTGGAATTATATGTTAATGAAAAGAATACTGGGATTTGGGAAAGAAAGAATTTTGAGTTGAACTATATTTCATGTTATCTTATTATTGAGATAGTTTGATTTCACTTCATATCTTATGTTTTTTTTATGTTTTATATTATTCACTCATTAGTATATAAAAAATTTATCATTTTATGTTTACGTAATCTTTTGATTTTGAGGCTTACGCCTTGCCTCACGAATGAAAAACGCCTCAATACCCGAATACACAATTTTAAGCATTGGAGCTTGCTAGTGCTCCTTCAAGATCATATAGTCCTCTAATTGATTGAAAGTATCATCCATCACTTGGTCATCCACACTTGATGGAGCATAATGTTTAATTTAGTGATTTATTACTTCCACTCTCAAGATTAGAGTGTTATGCATTCAAGGGAATTGATGTTTGTATAAATTTTAAATTTTCATTTCATCATTAATATTTAATTTATTTTATGTCCGTGGAATTTAATTATTTTACTAGAACAGCTCTAGTAAGTATCATTAAATTTGTTAAAAATTTATTTGTAGTTTATTAGCATTTGTTTATTTGTTATCAGTTTTTAGTTGTTTATTAGCCTTTTGTTAATTTGTTAATCTATTTCTCGTATTAGCAGGTGACCAATTTTATCCTAGACAATTACAGTGCTTTAATTTAGTAATTTAGTCCCTAGACTATCAAAAAATGATCTGAATAGATACCAAGGCTGAAATTCACAATTAAAGTTAATGCCAAAAGTTAAATTTGAGGGTATTTTAGATAATGCAAGTGTATGCCACCGTCGGCGATGATACACGTGTCGAAATCTGATGTCCCCATCATTAGCAGGTGACCAATTTTATCCTAGACTATTACAGTGCTTTAATTTAGTAATTTAGTCCCTAGACTATCAAAAAATAATCTGAATAGATACCAAGGCTGAAATTCACAATTAAAGTTAATGCCAAAAGTTAAATTTGAGGGTATTTTCGATAATGCAAGTGTATGTGAAGTTACATTTCTTATATTGCTCTATCTTTTCATTTAATGAATTATTGTTCTATTTTTTTTATTTCTTATAAGGCCTTCATCCCAATTCATGTTAAATCTTCAAGCTGACATTGTAAAACATTCCTTTTAGTTCGCAAATTCCAAAAACCCTTGACGACAAAAAAGCCGGAAAGTTGTGATTGGAGCTTATTAGAGAAGGTATTGACATGCCAAAAGCGTGTGAAGAAGAAAGGTTTGTGAGACTTACGGTTGTAACTTGTAAGTTAAACCCAGCCAATCTCAGGATTTGCTAAAATTAAATACGAAACAATTCCATCTCTGAATCACGCTGCTGCTTCAAGGATGTTTGCTCGCACGCCCTAATTCTTCTTTAGTCATGCCACTCATCTCTAATCCAGACACTTGCATGCCCAAAATTGTTTACGCAATTGCTTTATATGGATGTTTTGATAAATGAGGACCAAAAAAATAATAATTATAAATTACTTTATACTAAAATGTCCTCAAATACTTTATGTCAATTTAAACAGTTTATTTAAAGAGAAGATCAAAGAGGATCAATTCACAATAGTCGAGGGACTAATAGAGCACCGCGAAACTTTGGTTCTAAATTGACCACTTACTAATAGTCAGAGAATTATTTTAAACTTTTTTCTTCTTTTTTATAAATATGGGATTTTTTAAGTTATGTGAGAAGCATGAATAAAATTTTTATTATGGATGATTTGACTCCTCATCTATTATGGGACATGATCAGATCATTAATCAAATATAAGACTTGAATTCTGAAAGATTACTTCCTAATATAAGAGTGAGAGTTGCTTCTCTCTTTAATTTTTTAAATCTTTTTTATCCTTTTCAACTAATCTATTACCATTTTTAGTTTATTTTTAAGGTCAGTGTGCATCACGTTAGTCCATGCTGCGCAGGAAAATAAGATCGATTTTTTTTCCCATGACAATTCGGCCAATATGTTTAGGTTGATCCAGCCAACATTGCTCAGAAGTTCCCAGTTCACAAATAACAAATTAGCCAATTAAATTAATTTGAAATTGCTTCAATTAGATCGAGTTGATATTGGCATAGCTATGTAGTGTTGGCTTCATGCGGAAATAAGAGCATGATGCTTTTGATATCATCAGTATAATGGCCAATAAAACCCTCTGCAAATGTAGGGGGAAAAGAAGCATACATTAATTTCTCCTCAAACGCTATATTAGCCGGAGCTTCATCACTGAGTACACCCTGAATGATGTCCAACACTCATCTGATATAGCTAGGTAGTTGGCCTTGGAAAGAAAGGTGTACATAGACAAAAATTACCTCTAATTTGCTTTTTAGAACTTCCAGAAATTCGTGTAATTGGCAAATTTATATAAGAGTAAAAGGATTTGAAAACTTCTGAGATAGTGCTAGAAATAGAAAGGAGTATTTCACTAAAATAATTTGATCAACTATGATTCAGAAAGAAGATGGGATGAAACTAGACAATATATATAATTTGACAAACTATAAGTTAGGTTTACAATTACTAGGATTGGAAAAAGTATGTGCCAAAACATTTCCTTGTCATGTCCAGGATTGGCACGCATCATTAAAATAACTATATATGAGAAACACCGCATGGAATCCGAGACAGTATCCAGGTATATCAAAGTGCTCGAGTTAACGTCCAAAACAAAAGACAGCCCTTTAAGGGAATCTCAAAACCAAACGTGGATGCTGTACTAAACTTAATGAAACCTCCGCACCTATGAATCAATTTAAACAAAATGAACATAACTATACATATTGTCAGATCTAAGATGTTAGAGCTGATGGAATAATGATTTTACTAGCCTTGCCCACTAAAAATCAAAGAGCTGAATATGTTAATGCATGCTTCACCTCCACTTGAAACAAAGTCCCAAAAACTATTACAAGACCTCAATAAGTCATTGCTATATGTGAAAAGTTATCAATTATGAAACAACTCGCCTAAATTAAAAATGAAAATCCTCAAGGTTCAGTAAATAATATTGCCATGGTAAATTCTTCTAAAGTTAAATATTAATGCTCAATTTAAAATAAGAATAAAGCATTAAAAATAACTCACCTCCAACATATCCTTAGGTTCTTTTGTTTTGGCATCAATTAGTTCTATTTGAACAGGTTTACCTTCCCTAGCTGGAGTGATCTACACACAAAAATGTGAAATTGGTACGCTCGTTGCTTCCCAAACTTAAGTTCAAGAGTGACAAATCAGCTGAAAGTGTAAATGACGGATGGAAGAACCTTCTTAGCAAATACGCCAGTGTGGAAATCAATTTTTCTAGGATTAATGAGGATTCTTTGAGCCAACTTCCCTATCTCAGGATCAAAGCCAGGCATAAGTTGATCCAAAGCTTCAACAAAAGTAACCTGCATAATTTGATATTTTCAGTGAGCATGTTTCAAGTAACGAGATCCATATAAAACCAGAAGTTAAAAAAAGTTAAGGATGTGAATGAGAGAATGCATTGGAAAATCAAAAATATCATAATAAGACAAATTTAAAAGGATTGCTTATAACTTGAAAAAAGGATCCCGTATGTACTTAATACGTGAAATGCATCACTTACAGAGAAGTGAAGGTTAAGTACTCACGCACTGATAGGGATTAAAAAGGACTTCAATATGTTAGATCATAATTATAATATGTTCTTGTTTAGTTAGGTGGCAGAATCCTTTGCAATTATTTTGGGGTAATATTTTCGAGTTTATTGCAATGCTTGACAACAAGAATGCCCTTTCTTTATTAGATTTAGATGAGCATTTGACTCTTAACATGACATAATAAAGAAAAAGGTTTCATGTAGCCGACCCCAAATAGTGGGATAAGGGCATGTTGTTGTTGTTGTTGTAGTATTTTCGAGTTTATTGTAGCTTCACATTGCATATAAAGGACTTCTTGGTTGTCTGACAACTCGCATCTCCTTAAAAATCTGTAAGTAAAGCTATTGAAGCTGAAAATTCATAGCAAGCCATTGTTGGTGGAATTTTATCATCCTCAATGAACGAAAATATTTTGTGATCAACCACAACATGGAAAATAGTATATTACCCCAAAAGATAAAAATATCATTTCACTATAGGGGCTTAATAGCATAATTTGCATTTTTACCAGACATTTTTTCCCTACTTGATATATTTGATCGAGCAAGGTTTATTTTATTCTAGGGTACAAGTTCCTCATAGGTACAATCCCCTTATGGTTAATAATATCTTAAGCATTTGTCACTTAGAAACACTTTTGATAAAAATAATGATTTATGTTGTTTCAGCAAAAAATTGGCTAACAATTTTAAAAGATCAATTTAGTATGGTCTAAGAGAAATTACGAGTGTGCATTATATGGTTCACCATTTTAGGAGTTTATCTAAAGCTTAAGCTATTTGTTATTTCCCTAAACCTTTCAATTTACAAATTGCATTAACATGCTTAGCTAATTTCACTGTGTGATGATATAGTCTATAGACCTTTGAAGGCCATAGAATACTCCACACTAGCTTCATTTCATAATTTTAGGTAAACAATAGTCTTAGTAAAAGACCAACAACATTTATTCTCCTAAGGTTTAAGCGATGCAATCTAAACCATACAACCAAATTTGATTAAGTGAGCAGTAATTTGGATTGGAGTTATTTCTCACTTGTTGTAATCCTTTAAATTTGGAGAAATATCAAAAATGAATTCTATTAATTTTATTCATCATGGGATTTGAAACATAAACAAGAGGGTTCATGAAAGACCCCAACACTTGCTTGTAAGCTTTCAAAATTAATTGAAACTCATTTTTGAACATTTAACAAATTTAGAGAAAATCATAAATGCTAAACAATGCAAGTCTCCTATATCTGTAAGTTAATCTTGTCATAATTATGATTTGCTAGGACTGTATAAATGGGGAACTGCAATAGTATCCTAGCCTCGGTTCCCCCAACCACAAATAAGAAAACTAGAAATCGAGCCCTCTAAGCACTCGGCTCAGAATAGGCATGTATAGGAGACTTTTGCTCGCCTCCCCCGTTTGATCTCCCTAAATGCCGCACATAGGAGCTTGATCACTTTAACTATTCGGCTCTGCCTGGAGGAACTGAACCCAGAATGACACAGAGAGGCCGCTCCCACTCGCTCGATCTCTCCCATGCACGCACTAGAGGCTCCTTGGTTCGCTCGGTTTGGCTAGAGCGCACACACAGTAGCTCCCCAACCTCTTCCTCCTTATTCAGTTTGGTTCATAAACACGAAGAGGATGAATCAGACGTTCGATCAGCCTAGGACGCATGAGAGCTCATGCTCAGGTCTGCCTCCCTTGTCTCCTTCCCAGCACGTACGTAAAGACCCAAGCTCACGCAAGAAGCCTAGAATTCATTCCCTTCACTCAATTCGATCCTCAAACACATTCACGAAAGACGTTGTCTCGATCGGCTCGAGCACGCAGTAGGAACAAGAAGAAGAAATGAACACTCTAATTCTCCACTCTTCTAAAAACACTCTAAGTTTCATGTATAGGAACCCCATATAAGAACCCGCTCGATTGCCTGTTATGAGATCATAGAAATCTTTGGATTTGACAGGAAGGAAAAAACACAGGGAGAGCATTTCAAGATAATCGACGCCGTCAAGTTAAGTTTCTTGATCTGGGAAGTCAACAATTAGATCAAAGTTGAACCAAATGGGCGGGATTTGAGTTCAAATTGAGTTTGATTTGAGTTTGATTTGGATTTAATTAGCTTCAATTGAATTTAAAATTGAGTTGGATTGTCTCGATTTGAGTTGATCAAAACTCGATCGAACCCAATTGGTGGGCTCAAATCGTCTTGATTGGAGACTACTCGATACAAAAAGCATCAACAGCCATCTTCTCATTGGACATGCCATTCAATTGAAGAACCTTCTCTCTTGGTTCCAGAACATAGGGAACATCTAAAGGAGCCTTTAATTACTGTACCCCAATTCAAGTAAGAATTCTAACAAATATCTCTCTTTTTTGTATCCAAGCCACTCGGCTTGCTTTCAAGCATGCTTTCATTCTGAAATGACAAACCTCAGTCTACGAACCAGTAAACTCTGCAGCCCATTTCATATCCAACGCTTTTTCCCTTAATCATTCATTCATGAATTGACAAAAATGTTGTCGAAAGATAACACCCTGTGGTCATGTATGGATATAATTCATCGACAAATGAATTGGAAGTTAATCTGTGCAGACATTAGAAACACATCAAGACAAACACAGGTGTCCACCATATTACTTCAAATTAAAGACTAAAGAGATTAGAAGAGTTTGAGAAACTTTCCAATAAAACTATGTTGAGGATCAATGTTTTGGCAGTCACTAAGAATGTTGGGAGTCCAGATATTTGGCTGATTTGGGGTTTTTCCCTTCAAGAATAATTATTAGAAGTAGAAAAGTTCAAACCAAAGCAAGAGCGGCTTACTTTTCTGCCTGGTTTTCTTCTATCAAAATCGTACACTTGTAAATACATGAAAATTAGTAACATCTGATGGAAAAAGAACTCTCTTTAGAGATGTAATGTCCAACTAATCTCTAGCTCTAATGAGAGTATTAAGCTTCAGATTAAAACGAAATACAGTAGTAAGTAATAAACTACAAAGATGGATCATCAAAGTAAAACTTCACTGCATTGCTCATACAATGCTTTAAAGTACCTCACTTCCAAGGGCTGTGTAAACATCGCTAAATTCAAGTCCAATATATCCACTTCCAACAATAGCAATCCATTCTGGAACCCACTCCAGCTTTAGGGCTTGATCACTGGTAAAGACAGTTTTCCCTGCACAACAAGATTCAGTTCCAGAATAGCAAAGAAGAATGTCAAACCGTAAGGCATGAAAAGTACGTTAAAAAGCATTTACGCAGCACATAAAAGGATGAAACATAAAATTAAAATGCCGTACAGAGAAAAAAGAACAACAATATCTTCATCATTACCATACTTTTAAGCCAATTGTTTGAGAACGAAATTGAGAATACTCCCAGGTTTCATTCTTGTTGAATGTTAGTTGAGGTATAAACTATATTTTGCACATTTTTAAATGCAGTTTTCAGCCATGCTTATTGTGGTCTATTAATTTTCGCCCTAGTCTTTTAGATTAAGTTCATCTATCTAACTGGAGCATCTTCTTCCCTTTTATATGCCCACGCCACCTAACTCTATTCCACCGCCAAAGTTTTTTTTTAATGCACTAATCTACATATATGAGGTATGGGGTGGCCCATATTTGGCTCATTGTGAATTGAGGTCAATGGATACCTATTTGTTTTAAATTATAAGAAATAGATTTCACTTAAAATATTTATATATTCTGTAAACTTTTGAAATTTTTGTATGTTGTTGAGATTCAAGTCCAAAGCAATTTACCATGGGATTTAGGGGCATATAGAAACATACTCCTCTCCGGTTGATATTTTCTATCAGCACGACTTTCAACGAGAAACTTGATTGTTTTCATTTTATTATTTAAATATTGTCAACTATATATACTTGCTAATAAAAAAATTGAGTTCAAATCTCAACTTTGTGACCTACCATATGAGCGATGAACTTGAGAGTTCATTATTTTGTAATAAATTTTCTTCATAAAAGACATTGAAGGCCAAATGAGAACATAAAATCAATATCTTTGTATATTTCACAGTCATATGTTCATTTACAAGAATAGTGTTCATAGTCTATTGTTTGAAACATATATTTTTTAAATGAATTAAGTTTAAATTCATTCCTTCTTTTAAAGTGCACGACAATCTAATGCCCATTATTTAAGAGATTAGTATATTTGGGTGGAGCACATGCTTTATTTTGATATTTCTTTGAAATGGAAAAGAAAATTTTTGTTGTGTTAATATGATGTACTTGTACATTTTTCAATGCATTCACACAAATGCACTAGAACAATTTTCAATGTACTAGTGAGTTTTTAATGTGCCTACAAGGTGCAATTGCAAGCTTTTCAGTGCATTTAAACATTATATTCGCACACATTAAATTACTTGTCTGCTTTTTAATATGCCTACATAACACCCTTGCACCTTTTTCAATACACTTGCACAATGTACTTGCACACTTCCCAATATAGAGCTTTCAGTGCACCTACATAAAGCTTTTGCATGTTTTTCACTGCATTTGCCACCTGTAAACACACCTTCTAGTATACCAACATGATATGTGCACTTTCTGATGCATTTGTATAGCAAAGTTACATGCTTTTCAACATACTTTCTATTTTTATGTGCTTTTAAAGTGATATGCTTCTTGGAGAAAAATGATTCAAGTAGCTGAACCCACATAGCGGGATACAGGCTTGATGTTATTATTTTTGGTGGTAATGGTGGTGATGATGGTGGTAGTCTACTTGAGCATTTATCGTTGAAATGAGCACAAAATTTTCATTTTGAAATTTTAAAACATCACCTTCCTCCTTGTTGGCTCAAGAAAAACAGCGCGTTGGCATGAATCTTGCTTTGTAGCCGTAAGATTCCATCTTCTTTGAGTCAGATTGTAATTAACGAGATTTTCCCTAAGGGTAGTATCAGGGTTTAGTTAGATCTAGGTTCTTACTTCTCATGAGCGCATGCACTCATAGTTAATTACCCTTCTTAACACGTAAGAGACAACTCTCGATTAAGAATGAATAATTTTAGGTATTTTAGTCTCAATTGTGGGAGAAAATAGAGGTAAACCCGATTAAGATCTCATGGTTCCATCGTCCCGGATATACCGTAGGTTTCAGTTTACCAACACTAGCAATCATTGAATGTAATGTCTAAAGAATTTAATTAACAACTATGGGTTGCCTCTTCTCAGAGATCCCAAGTAAACATAAGTGGTTAGATGTCCATTAATTTGATTTAAGTTCAGAAAAGATGGTTTGAGATTTACATCTATTAGAATACCCAAAAAATTAATTTGATTTAGGATTAATAATTTTATTTAGAAATTGATGCGGGCAAAAGATATAGGGAGCCTATACCCTTCGCCCACAAAAGAGACGACGGACTTCAAACGACGAAAATGAGAAAAGAGACGAACAATAGGGAAGAACAAACTCTTATATTTCAGATAAAAATAAAAAGAAGAAATTATAACGACGACTTGCAAACAACACGACAGACACCCTAAAGTTGCTGCACTTTGAGAAGAATGATACAGATGGAGTGGCACTTGCGTAAAACGGGTCTTATAGCTTCTTCCTAGAAGTAGTTCGGATGTTTGAATTTGGGTCAAGACTTATGACTTTCATTGAAAATAGCCCGTAAAATGGGTCTTATGGTTCTATTAGAAGTAACCCACTAATGGGTCTTACAACTTAGCCCCCTATAGACTAAGATGCTCGTTAGTTTTGTTTGTTTGGGTTTTAGAGTCTTGCAATTAATTTATTTAGCAATTTCTCTCACGTGTGAGTCTTACAATTTCACTTAGAAGTTGCCCGTTAGCAGGCCTTAGAACCTTGGCCTATAGGCTAAGCTATCCATTAATTCAAATTTAATTTGAGTGTTTAATATTTCTCTTAGGGATTTCTCTCAAATAATAGGTCTTACAACTTATTTTGGAAGATGCCTGAAAATGGGTTGTACAACATAGCCCTTCAGACTAAGATGCCCATTAATTTTGTTTGACAGATCTTATGACTCCCTTAGAAGTTGTCTGACGTGTTTGTAGGACTTATTGCTTCCCTTTGGAAGTAGCATGTTCTACATTCTTTACTCTTTAGCCTGTTTTACTTTTTTTAGCAGTTATTTTGGTGCTAATCAATTTTTATTCTTTAACTTGCAGGTGCTTGAAGTTTGTGTTGTTTCAAAGTTTAGAGAGTTTGCACAGGAGAGTTTGAGAGCAGTGTTTGAGAGTTATTTGAATGTGAGTGTTGAGTTAGAAAGTTTAAAGAGCTATTGTTTCAGAGGTTTTGGTGTGAGTTTGTTGAGTTGGAGAGGGTTGAGTTTGAGTGTTGTTTGGAGAGTTTGTGAGTTGGAGACCTTTATTTGAGAGTTTGAAGTTGATGAGTTGAAGAGCTTTGTTTGAGCGTATGAGAGTTTTGGATAGCAGTTGATGATAATTGGATTTGTTGATCATTTTATTTTATAATTGCTCAATTTATTAATAAATTAATCAATTAATAAACTTAAATTTTAATACTTCTGAATTTTTAAAACTCTCAAATTTAAAATGCTCTCATATTTAAAATACTCTCGAACTTAAAATTAATCAATTAATTTCAATTGATTAATTTATTTTTTTGACTAATCAATTAATTTCAATTAATTACTTTTAACAAATTAATTAATCTCAATTAAATTTTAATTAATCAATTAGTTTTTATTGCTTAATTTCCACTAATCAATTAATTTTAATTAATTAATTAACTTTATATAATTAATTATGATTAGTTCAATAATTTTACTTAATTAATTCTAATTAATTGATTATTTTTATTAACTAATTTAAGTTAACTGATTAATCCTAATTAACTTACCTTAATCAATTAATAATTTCATTTTAATTGATTAAATCCAATTAAGTAGTTAGTTGGAATTAAGCAATCATTCCTAATTAATTAATCTCAATTAATTAATTATTTCAATTAAATATTAACTAATTTAATCAAATAATTAATATTTTAAAGCAATTTTAACATTTTTGTATTGATAAATCAAATGAATTAAACGGATAATATTCAAATTGAGTCACTTTCTAGTTTGATAAATTCCTGGAGCGATTTTGACAGTCTTCCAGCATTCTCTCCCTATCGAGGAAAATTGGGACGTCATTGTAGTAGTTTCTTCCTGTCCGGAACAAAGATTTACGGAGCTAGGTATTCAGAATTTAAAACCATCAGCCCGGATTAAAAATCACAGCATGGGTTTGCGAATTTAAAATCATCCACCCAAATTAAAAATCATGGGTTGTCTTCAAATTTAAAACCATCTCGGTCGGACCTATGGTCGACGGCGCGAGGTCTTGGATTTGAAATAATCCCGATCGGATCTAAAATCGACGGCGCGAGGTCTTGAATTTAAATGCATGTTTGCTATGAAATTTATTTAAGTATAAAGAATTTCACTTTAATTGTTTAGGTTATTAACTACAGTTATTAATCCATTAATAAGATAATTTAAATTCTTGTCTTCAAATTAGAACAGAAACAATCAGTGCTTCATTCTAAATATGCGGTTTAAGCCTCTGAAGAGCCTCACTCACGATAATTTTTTTAAATAGATTGGATATGGGATTTAGGGCCGGAACTACTGTTGCACATGGAATAGGATGTGGGAGCAGAAGCCTAAAGGGTTTCACGCGATTGGAGGAGCATTCGTTCAGATCTGTGAAATCAGATAGCGGCGAAGGATCGATTGCATGGGCCTTTGGGAGTAGACGCGAACAATCAGAATAGGGCACCGACATGGGTTGCGGATGGAGTGGAGCCGGAATGCCGAAGGGTTGGCTCGGGATCAGAATAGGGTGCTAACGCAGGGTTCGATCCTGTGTGCCAACGGAATAGGAAGCATGGATGTTGGCTTGGGATCGATCTTCCTGTGTGCGACTGTGGGAGAGGAGTATCGGCTCTGATGAGAAGCACAAACAGACAAGAGAGACAGAAAGAGCGGGGTGTATTGTTTGAGTGAACTGTGGTGGTTTTTATTTTTGTATGTTGAAGTTAAGGGAGCGAAGAATTTCATCGTTTGGGAAGATTACGCGAAGTGGGGACGTCTCGGAGGCAGGTGTATTATTTTGTATCTGTTCAATCTTTTTTTCTTTAGTCAACAAATTGCCTCCCAAAG